CTGCGCCATGATGCCGGACAGATGAAACCCCTCCGCCGACAGGTAAGCCATGTAGCTGTAGACGAAGACGAACAGAGGCTCGATGACGCGCGTGTGCGAGGTGAAGCGGGACGTGAAGGCCGCCAGGATGCCGTAGATGGCGCCCACCACGATACCGCCCAACGACACCACCAGAAAACACACGATACCCAGAAACACATCCGTCACAGTGATCGAGCCCACACTGCTGTACTCCTCAAAGAGATGATACAGCACCTACAGCATCAGAAATGAACACAACCCACAGCATTAGAGCCACGGGCAGCTTAACAAAACATACAGTGCTACCACGGTATTAAAATGAACAGTTTTTCATTTAAAACTTTTAATTAACTATTTTAATTAATTAAAAAAATATTATTACTATTTTTAGTTAATATTAACATTTTTTTTTTAAATTTTGGAACATATATTTTTTATTTATTAATTATATATGTTATAATAATAAATATGTGTTATAATCAATTATAATAAATAATACACACACACACACACACACACATATATATATATATATACACACACAAATACATGAAAATATTATATTTATATGATTTAGATTATATAAATTAATTCATTATTTATTTATTTAGTTAGGCATGTAGCTAGTTGGTTAGTAAGTTAATTAGTTCAACACTTTAGCTATGACTGTATCACGAGGATTCTTGCGAATAGCTGTAAACATCCAGATTTAGTAATTGTTCTCTTATGCGGAGATACACGGCATTAGACTTTATGAAGTACAGTCATTCAATATTATCAGAGCCTTCTGTCCTTGTGCAAAAAACTCAATAAACAATCATTTACCGCTTCCCAGTGGAGACGTGCAAAGCGGGACCGCAAACACTCCTCAGATTAGCGGAGGAGGACTTCACCGAACACTTGATATCGTGTTTGACTTCTTTCATTGATCACCTCATCATCAGTGTGATTTGTTTCATTGACCACTCGAGACAGAAGCTCACTGAAAGAATGAGGTCAAGCAGTCGAGGAAAAACAGTTGAGGTAATGGAAACGAGACGCCTCTTCACAAGACTCAATCAGCTGATAAACTGAGCTGTGAGAGTGAACACGTGTGCGGTGAATTCTCCCAGGGACAGCAGGACTGGAACAATCCCATAGATTATACCGAGACCAGCGGCTGATCGATAGCAATCTACAGCTGATGCTGAGATCTAGAGGCACGGTGCTCAAGAAATGACATACTGCCAATAATAAATATAAAATAATAATTTAATTAATTAAAATAAGATTGCACATTAAATCTATCTATCTACGTAGATATACATACAGTCAAACCAAAAATTATTCAGACACCAGATATAATTTTATTTTATTTTTTTTTGTATATATGTATTTATTTTTTATCTTATATAAATGTGTGTATATGTATATATATACATATAATATCTTAAAAATAAATACATATATACAAAAATACACATAGACGGAGAGAAATGTATTTTGATATATATGCAGTTTGCAAATAAGCAATATATATAATTTATTCTAATTAATGTATTATTATTATTAAGGTTTTTAAATATACTTTTATATTGCAAGAATTTCACATTCAATCTTAAAATGAATGTGGAAACAACATAAAGACAGTATATTTTTAATATCTGTTTTTCCCCCTAATATTTAACCACTGACTACAGCCATTCAACATACTCACCACAGTGACGGCGTCATTAAGTAACGACTCTCCGAACACCAGGATGTGGAGCAGCTCGTTAATGTGGATCTCCTCAAACACAGCCAGAACAGCCACGGGGTCTACGGCTGAGATGATGGAGCCGAACAGCAGGCACGACAGGAGGTCCACGTATGCCAGCTTATGGCCCTCGAGCTGGCAAACCCCGTACAGCAGACCACCGACGAAGAAGGAATTCCAGAGCGTTCCCACCACTGCGAACATGAGAATAGTGCCCAGGTTCTCAGTGAATTGCCGTATGGGCATGAAGTAGCCGGCGTCGAGGATGATGGGAGGCAGCAGGTAGAAGAAGAAGATCTTGGACTCCAGCACCGGAGGGTCCTCGCCTACCAGCTTAATGAGACCGCCGACCAGCAGGCCCACCACGATCAGCAGACAGCTCTCCGGCACGATAGAGGACACGCGAGGGATCAGGTGGAACCCTACAAATAAAGAGGAGCATTGATGGATGAAGACAGGGCACTGCATTCATTGGAAATTAATAGAATTAGTAGGGATGCACGATATTATCGGAACTAGGGCTGCACGATTAATCGAATGCGATTGTCATGCGCATCTTGTCAGTAAAGCCGGTTCTGTAGTAGTAAAATAAAGGCTATGTCGATTAGAATTGCATTATTATATACTTTATTATAATAAAAATTATAATAAGACGAACTCAGATAAACCATATATTGTCATGGTCGTGTGTTTATTAGTCACGTTGAATTAATGAAAGCAGTTAAATCTTCTGTTTATTCAGCAACCGCTATAGGGATTTCCTGGGTTTCTTCTGCGAGGCGTATTTGGAGTTTCAGAGTGAGAGCGCCCTCTGGCCTTCAGATGGAGATTTACTGCTGATCACAGAACCGTGCTTCACTGAAAGATACTCATGACAATTGAAGCTTCTGCCAAATCGCGATTTATCGCCTTTGCGATTTAATTTCGATTAATCGTGCAGCCCTAATCGGAACGTTATCGAAATCGGCCGATAATGGCTTAAAATGCAAATATCTGCATCGGCCCGATATAAAAATTATGCCGATATCTCGTGCACTCACATGTGCACAGGGTGTGCTAGCAATAAGATCACGTCAGCAGTGTGCTCATTCTTGAAGCTAATTTTTTCCTGGATGATTTGATTCACTGTTTTGAGCATTTAATCTGAGAATGCGAGTACAGAATGACGCGTCCGGTGTGCGATAGAGTCAACAGTTACTAGCACGTGCAGCAGTAGCAGCAACAGCCTCCCCCGGGTCCTAATGCCCGTCCGGTAAGGCCTTTTATTTACTTAGGGGGCGCTGTTGACCTACTTCTAATAAAATGAAAGTAAAATACACAAATAACATTAAGATTGTGTTTCTGATTAAATAAAGCAGCAATTGATGTCATAAAATCACAAGTATGGTTTGATTTAAAGGTCAGAAGGTATAGCTTACATGAATAAAAATCACAAACAAGACACTATACAGATTTATTCATTAATGTGTAATGGGTTTTTTTTCAAACAGATTATGAAAACTTAAATACAAGGAGCTCTAAAAGATTTTCAGAACTCTTTTGCTTTAGACCATCTACAAAATCTAAATATTCAAATAAAATGTTAAGGATTGATTTATAGTTATTTTCAAAGCTTTCAGTGTACTCTCATTATAAAAGAACTTCACTGTTAATTTAATTCTCACAAAATAACTTTTTTGTTAAACTAAACAAAATGGAAAATAATTTGTTTATAATCTCTGTACAGGAGAGACTTTGTGTTGTTTCCAAACAAAAGGAAATATATCGGTATCGCCATCGGCTATCGGCCAAAATGAGTTGAAAAATATCGGCATATCGGATATTGGCAAAAATACAGTATCGTGCATCACTAGTAATTAGTGATGCTCTGAAATGATTTTTTTTTTTTACCAGAAACACCGAAGCCAAAATTTCCAAATTTTAACCAAAAGTTATATTTTAGCCAAAACTACAAAATTAAAGGGGAGGTCTAACGCTATTTCATGCATTCTGACTTATTTACACTGTTAAAGAATTGGATTCTCATGCTAAACATGGCCAAAGTGTCAAAAAACAAGTTGGATGTATGACAGAGTATTTCTGTGCCAAGGGTTCGAATAAATTTCAGAAAGTTTCACAGAGCTGGGTAGTAACTGATTACATGTAATCTGGATTACGTAATCTGATCAACTACTGATGAACACAATAATATTTATTTGAATTATCACTCAGTAGGTTATTTAACCATGTATTACTGTGTCTTTGGAAGGCTTTTTTTCTTTTCAAACACATTAAACTGCACAAATTCACGTTATTTCTTATTTACATGTAATGCAGGGATTCCCAAACTTTTTTTTCTCTTTCTCTTAATATATTTATTTGTGGAGTCCCCCCTGAGATTTTAAGAAAATACGTTAATAATTAAGTAACACATTTGCATGTTCGCGGTTCTCTGACGTTGGTTAATGGTCACATGATATGCAGGTAAACAAATTATTTAATTTTTTTTAGTAAGTGTTTTATTTTAATTGTTGTCATTTTAAAATGATATATTTTAATTTGACATTTTTATTATTTAATTATTAGCTTTTCATTAAAGTCATGAACTCCCATGAAACCTTGACGTAATGTAATGTTTAGTTCATTATGTTAATAACAAGAAATGTAATATATTTTCATTTTCTTAGCATTTTTATATCACAAATTAAGTAAAATTTAAGTCAATAAAGTTTTTGTTCCTGTTTTATGTCGATGTCAGCTTGCAGATGATCGTAAAAATATAATGAATATGTAATTTAGTGCATATATTTATCAAAATGCTCCACTCTAGACAAATTTGTCCATTAAATGGACAAAATGTAAAATTAAATAAATTTTTGCTGCCAGTGTATTACTAATAATATAATATAATATAATATAATATAATACAGTTGCTCCTAATATTTCTGCATGTTGATGTAGCAGACAAATATAACATAAATTATGAAATAATATAAAATAACATAATATAACAACACAGTTGATCCTGATTTTTCTGCATGTTAACGTAGCAAAATTAAATTAAATTAAATAAAATAAAAAATTAAATTAAATTAAATTAAATTAAATAAAATTAAATTAAATTAAATTAAATTAACTGGTGGAAGCAAAATACAAAAACTTTATGTTCACTAAATCTGATGATTAATGCAATTTTTAGTCTCATTTTGGGGTCTGGCTTCCATTCTCTGCAGATTAATTAATATTTGGATTAATATTTACATACATGAAAGGTGCCAAATTTGTCCTGTTTTAATTTATGACCATTTTCAACAGGTAATTTATGGCAATCACCAAATGAAATGCTCATGCGTGTAGAGTCGCAGCAGAAACGATGTGACAAACTCAGTGTGATCCTGCTGTTGCAGCTGCGCTGATGCTTTGCTGACGTGTGAGATGTGTGAACCTCAGAGTTGCAGAATGATGTCAAAAGTGTCAAATCTTCAAGACAGGGTCACAATCAATTGTGCGCAGTAGTGAAAAAACAACAACAACAACAAAAAAATCAGTCCTAATGCCAGTTAAACTGCTTACCTGAGAGCCGAAACCTTTAAACAAATGACTGTCTTCCATTCCATCATCTCCGGTTTGTCCTAAGCTTTTTAAGGCTATTATCACCAAGGCTTTTCCTAACTAAAGCGGTATGCTGCAGGTATTTAGAGCACGTTTGTTAGAGCTAAATATTTTCTTGTTAAAGGACACATGCACAATTTCTCGGAGAAACACACACAAAAGCTCCTGCACGCATCAGGCGACTATTGAATCAATCTGACCGGTCCATCGGCGGTCAAACATGTGACAAATAGGAAATCTGTAGTCTATATGGAACAGTGATTCATCTGAGGTTTATTTAATGACTGACGTCGTCTTCATTTCAACTGAAGTTAGTCATTACAGTTATCTACGTATCCACATAATCAGATCTGTGTGATACGACAACAGTCAGCAGACAACAGGACCTGGAGACGAGCTCAATTAAAGCCTCTGAAAGGCCCTAGCGGAGAGTAATGGATCGGTCTATAATGGATCCGGCCTTCCGTTTCTCCAGCTGAATCTAGAGGTCAACCTTCAGCTGGTTAACATTGTACAGTAGCTACAGCATTAATGGAGGAAATAAGCCTGTTTCTCCACTGACAACCACTCAAAAGCAGCCTAGTGTTTTCACTATTTATTATGCAATCAACATAACTGTTTTGTATTCATTTGTCTACATGCACATGCATCAGAAGGACATCATTTTGAAGTGTTTTTTCAGTGTGTTGTTAAAAGTAGAAACCTGTGTTTTGTTACATTCTGTATATTAACATTAAAAAAGAAAAGAAAAACATAAATAAATCATAAAATAAAATAGTAAATAAAATTAAATAAATAACTTGGCTTAGTTTTACTTGTTGATCGAAAAATATAATAAATAACTAAAATAAACAAATACTAAAAATAAATATATTTAATATAAAAATATTAAATATAAAAATAAAAGTTTTCTGCTTAGTTTCAATATAAAAAATTACAAAATAATATAATTACAATATTACAATATAATATATATAAACAAAATTACAATAAAATTACAATATACAATAT